TTGTTGGTGGATTTCAGTTGCCACTTGCCAATGTTAAATGTCATTTTCTTGATCCAACCCAAACCCAAACCCAAATACAATGTTAAATGTTAAATGTTAAAGTGAAATAGCAGTGAAAATTTTGATTAATAAGTATTGAAAATTTTGATTAACAAGCAGTAAAATATGTGATAGTTTTATTTGGTGGGGACTCCGAATACCCGCGGGGGCCTATTATTCCCCGCGGAGATGGGGACAGAGGCAATTTTTGACCCTCCACCAAAAATCCCCGTGGGGATCCCCGTACCCGCCATTGGTGGGGATGGGGATGGGGATGGGGAGGGGGTCCCCGGCCCCGTGGGGACCCGTTGCCATCCTTTCGAACATATTTCTCAAGGCTCCTTTTTTTATTATTATTCTTTAAAACCAACAAAATCAAATCCCTCAATCCCTTAAGGCTTAGAGTACAACTTGCATCTCTTATTGGCCTATTCCTCAGGGAAACTTATGTGAGAGAAGATGCTCCCCTTATGCTTCTTGTCTGCGGCAGTTGTTGTTGGAGATGCAGAAGCAGCTTTAGTGGCTGCTTCAGTCCTGGGCTTTGCAGAGGACTCTAAGCGATGGCGATGGTGGTGGCGGTCATGGTCTTTCTCACGATCATCGTAATCATAGTGACGATCACGCTCATGATCATGCTGGTGATCGGATTTCCTCTTCAATGGACGAAATGTTGGTTCGAGGTCGCATGAGTGGCGTTCCACCGAGGATCTCTCAAATCAGTGTCGATGATGGTCCTAGTGATGGTCACTGCTTGACGCTGGTGGATTATTGCCACAACCCAAATTTATGTGATGAAACCCAGATCTGGGTTTGAGAAAAACCCAGATTTGGGTTTGAGAGACGAAGAAGAAGCGAGGAGAGAGAGAGAGAGAAAGAATAAGAAGAAGAAAGAAGAAGGATGAGGCATAGTTTTCCAGATCAAGTACGCCGCCAAGGCCGTCGATAACAGTGGGTCTGTTCTATTTCTGTTTTGTTGTGCATTTAGATTTTTATTTCTGTTGTTTCATAATTATGATTGGCATCAAGTGCGAAGCTGGGATTGTTATCGTATGCTTTATTGTTCCTAATTTTGGTATTTGTTGAATCATGCTTATGGATTCATATGTGAACGTAATTTGTGGATTTGGGAGCTTCAAGGCGTAGAAAAGCTCATTGTGTCGAAGATTATGTTGCCTGGTTCCAATAAAAGAATCCACTTCGTTCATCGTCACTCTGGCATGGCATTCGTGTTGAGAGAATCCTTAAACCCAGATCTGGAGAGGAAGAAGAATAGGGGAGAGAGGAGAGAGAGAAAGAATAAGAAAAGTTAAAAAAATGTCATGTCGACCCCATTAAAAGGGAAAGTTAAAAAGGTGATAATATGACGTGTAAAAAAATATGCCACATGTATAAAACATGCCATGGTGACAAGATTTTTTTTGCTGGATTTACAGGTCATTAAGATTCAAAAAAGTCAGTAATTTTGTGGCATCTTAATGTGCCACCTGTGCACTTAACTGATGGAAGGATCATTTTGGTACCGAAAATGAAAGTTTAAAGATAATTTTGGTATTTTTTAAAGTTGATGGACAATTTTGGTGCCAAAGTGAAAAGTTGAGGGACCAAAATGGTATTTTAACTTAAATTTAATTTATAAAATATATTATTTTTTACTAAAATACTTAAGTTCCAAGAGATAATAAAATATTTTGAAAAATTTTAAAGAAATTTATAAACACATTTTTAAAATAAATGGTTTGAAGTATAAATTTATTATTTTTTTAATTTCTGCTTAAGATATGACAATCTTATTAATCTTATTAAGATTAATTATTCTAATGTAATTTAATTTCTCAATGGTTGTTATCTTTACACTAGTTGGATTTCTTTGCATTTTTTGACAAATCCTTCAAAGCTACCATCAAAGGCTATCAATGGTTATATACGATGGGAGGACAAGAGGACAAGGAGATGGACCTAAAGGAGAGAGAGAAAGTCTATTTTAAAATTTTAATTTTTTTTAAATATTAAAATTATCACTTACACTAAGTATAGGATAATTAATGAAGTTTTCTTAAATAAATAATTTGCACATCATTAAAATTGAAATCTATTAATGAACATGAAAAAGCAAGAAATAAGATGCTTAATTAAGAACAACTATACTAACAACCCGTAAGTCTAAGTGAAAGTGGAAAAAGTGTAGTTCCACTTAAATAAGGTTTCAAATTTGAATTTTATGAATAGAGAAACAAGTGTTGTTGAGAGAGTTCTCTCCCGGTTCAACTCGGAATTAATTGGAATTAAAAAAAAAAATTAAGAGCAACTATGCCATAAAAAAAAAAAAAAAAAAAAAGAGCTACTAAAGTTTGTGCCTTTATTTATTAAATTGAAGAAACTTGTTGCCGCCCAAACCCTTCCCCTTAATAGTTCCGCACTCGGACCAATCACAACTCCGTTGCAAATGCGGGGTATAGCTAGCATTCCTACACTCAGTTGGGGGTGGGGGAGGGATTTAGAAAAGTAGAGTGATATCTTTGTTGAATACATCATTGGTTATGTAAACTCAATTTTCGATTGTATGGGTCCGATCGATTGAATTAATAGATTTGCAGTTTCACCAACAATAGGGAATTTTGCAGGATGAGAAAAGTAGAAAAGGGTAATGTTAATGTTATGACTTAGGCATATAATCTTAGGAATAATTTTTTTTTTTTCTGTCAGCATATATCTTAGGAAGAATTAATTGTGTCCTATTTAACTATTGCAGCTTGTAAACCATGGAGTGAGCTCTTCTTTGTTAGAGAAGGTAAAGAAAGAGATTCAGGATTTCTTCAATCTCCCAATCGAAGAGAAGAAAAAATATTGGCAATACCCAGGAGAAGTAGAAGGATTTGGACAGGCCTTTGTTGTGTCTGAAGAGCAAAAACTTGATTGGGGTGATCTGTTTTTCATGACCACCCTCCCACACCATTTCAGAAAACCCCATCTGTTCCCTAAGCTGCCTCTTTCTTTCAGGTCCTCTCCATTGTTTTTCTCTTCTGTCTTTCAGTGAGTGTAATTTGGTTTTAACTCAAATCTCCTTTTTCTTTTCCTTGTGTAGAGATACATTGGAAATTTACTCATTGGAGCTGAAAAATCTAGCTATTACCATTTTAAAAAACATGGCAAATGCACTTGGCATGGAAAGCGGAGAAATGGAGGAATTCTTTGAAGGGGGTTTTCAGTCAATGAGGATGAACTATTACCCTCCATGTCCTGAACCAGACAAGGTTATGGGGCTCACTCCTCATTCTGATTCTGTAGGCCTCACCATCCTGCTTCAGATAAATGAAGTAGAGGGCCTCCAAATAAAAAAAGATGGCAAATGGATTCCAGTAAGCCACTCCCAAATGCCTTCATCATCAACATTGTAGACGTTTTAGAGGTAATTACGATCATAATTGTACTTGCTTCCGTCTGGAAAAATGAAAATCACGGTTTTGATGAATATGAACTGAACTTCTTTTGGTAGGTTAAAACAAATGGAGCGTATCGTAGCATCACTCACCGCGCGACAATTAACTCAGAAAGAGAAAGGCTCTCCATTGCCACATTCTATAACCCAAAGTATGATGGGGAAATAGGTCCAGCAAGAAGCTTGATCTCTCAGCAAAAACCAGCGTTGTTCAAGAGATTGGGGGTTGAAGAATATTTCAAAGGACTATTTGCTCGTAGCCTTAACGAAAAGTCTTACCTGGATACCCTGAGACTGCAACAGGGTTAGACCTGCAGTGATGTTCAATGCAAAATGTGGGTGAGTGAATTAGATATAATAATAAATAAATGTGAAAAATGCTGCTATATAAGCATATACATTGAAGAGTAAATCAGGGATTTTTTTAGTTCAGGGATCAAATGGGGGGGTCCGTACAATAGTTTAGGGACCAAATTGGGGGTTTAAGCTTAGTTTTTCTAGTTTTATTTGGATTAGCTCTTTTATTAAGAGTTCTAGAAGTCTTTTACTATTTCTATTTATCAAGAGTCTAAATCCTAATTGAATTAAAAATTTTAAATTTCAAATTATAGTTCTAATTATAATGGGACTTCTATTAGGTGACTTAGTAGTTAATATATAAACATGCTTTTAACTTCTTTTATTAGTAGTCAATCGAATATTTAGAAATTTGCAGCAAGA